GTAGGTAAGAGGGCTCAGCACATGGTAAGGGGCAAAGTGTTTGTTCATTTTGGTGGAAACCTACAGGGCATAGAGGAGTAATAGGAAATAAGGCTGGAAAGGTCAGTTGCTGCTAAGTTGTGGAGAACCTCAAACAATAAGGAAAGGAATTTGAATTCTATTCAGTTAGATGATAAAAAGGAAGTATTGGAGGTGAGGAGGGATGAGTGGGTGAGTGGATGGATGGATGGATGGATAGATAGATCAATAGATATAGATAGAGCTCTCGAGCTCTCTCTCTCCACACACATACACACACACACATACACATATATATGTATGTATGTATAAGGTTGCTGCAAATATGTATGTGTGTGTATATATACATACACATAATGTAACATGTGTCAGTTATTTGTGGGAGGGAGGGAAAGCTGAGTCAGGAAAGTATATTAAGAGACCAATTCAAAAAACCAAGCTACCAAGGGCTATATAAAGTACAATGGTGGGAAGCTGGCCTGGATGTGAGCTCATTGATATGACATAGGCTCACATTAACAGAGACTGTCTCAGAGTCCTCATGAGAGAGAGAAGCCTCATTACCTAATGTGAATTTGAGGAACCATGGCTACCTGGTAAGGGCTCTGGGCCAGAAATCACAAAACTCAGCTGTTAGCCCTGCCCTTGACAAAGACTAATTCTGTCACTTTATTCTAGACTTGATGTTTCTAAGGCCTTAGTTTCCTCATCTGTAAAATGGAGCTAAGTCCCTTATCCTGCCTAATTCATGGGGTGCTTATGCTTTGTATATTGTATACTCTAAGTGAGCACTTCTCAAACTTTTTTGGTCTCAGGACCCCTTTGCATTTAAAAATTATTGAGGACTCCAAAAAGCCTTTGTTTATATGAGTCATATTAATCAAGATTGACATTAATTATTAAAACCAATCATTTAAAATATTTCTTTTTAGTTCATTTAAAAATAGCAACAATAAAGCTATTGCACGTCAACATCATTTGTATGAAAAATAACTATATTTTCTAAAACAAGTAAATCCATGAAAGTGGCATTATTTTACATATTTTTGCAAACCTGTTTAATGTCAGCTTAATAGAAGACAGCTACATTCTCATATTTGTTTCAGTATCAATCTGTTGTCATATGCTATTTTGGTTAAAGTTAGTAGAGAATCTGGCCTCATATTGATCTAGAGTTGGGAGAGGGAAGAGTATTTCAATAGGCAAATAATGTCTTAGTATCTTTATGAAAATAGTTTTCACCTTGAGGATCCCCTGAAAGGGTCTTAGGGACCCCTCGGGGTCTGTGGACCATACTTTGAGACTTAAATAAACATCTGTTAAATCAAAGATCATAACATGAAGTATGTTGAAAAGAGAAAACTTTTGGTGCCCTAATTCTCTCAATATCTACATGTTGCATTATATTTATATTTATTTTGTTAAACATTTCCCAATCTAAATATGTTTGACATGATTGTACATGTATCACCTATATCAGATTGCTTTCTGTCTTGTGGAGGGGAGAGAGGAGGGAGAAAAATTTGGAACTTAAAATTTTACAAAAATAGATGTTGAAAACTACCTTTACATATAATTGGGAAAAAATGAAATACTATTAAGAAAAAAAAATTCCCAGTCTACATGGAGAATTGAGATTTGGGTATTCTTGCCTCTTCCCTGGTCAGTGTACCCTTGCTATCCTGGCCTCTTGCTCATGTCTGGAGTCACATGAGCACTGGGCACCACACTTTAGGAAAGACATGGACTACCTGGAGAGGATGTGGACCAGAATGAAGGAGGGAGGCAGGAAGGGAAGGAAACAGGCATTTATTAGGCACCTACTATGTGCCAGGCACTGTACTAGGCAGTTTACAATGTTTATTTCATTTGATTCTCACAACATTTCTGGGAGGTAGGGGTATTATGATCCTCACTTAACAGCTGAGGAAACTGAGGCAGGCAGAAGATAAGTGACTTGCCTAGGGTCACATAACAACAAAATGTTTGAGGTTGTACTAGGTCTGATGGTTAGACTAAAGAAGAAAAGCAGGATGAGGAGGTTAGGGGTGAACATTTCTAGTTACTTTATTCTAAAGGGCTGTGATGGTACTGAAGGGAGAATGCATTTTGTTTGCTTGTTTTGACTTTTGTCCTAGATATTTGGACTCTGGCTGCCTAGATATATACGGGGGCTACTGACTTTGGAAGCAGCCCTACTTTCTACCCTATCTGGTATGCCAGATACTTATAGCTTCTGAGATTACAATTTTAGCTTCTCAAAATATTTTGGAGACATCCTGTTTCCCAGAGCTAAGGTCCAGCAAGCAGGCCCTATGGCCAGCATTTGCCTTGTCCTGTCACGAGGAACTACCACCCATGAGAAAGTCCTGGCACCAGCCACTCTAGCCCCTAGGCAGTGCCCTCTACTGTACCGCCCCTCCCCCCAAAGCCCAGTTAGTCGGTGTTTCCAAGGCGACCCTAGTCCTTGGCAGGTTTTGCCCAGATGTTACCTGCGGAGGGTCTTGATGCCCCTGGCAGCACCTAGCATGGCAGTACAAGGTGGGGAAGCCAGACAGCTTCTGCTCTTGGCAAGCCCACCCTTCTCTGTTCTGGTTGCAGAAACTTATCAGCTGTCTAATCTTAGGTAAGTTATCTCTTTTTCCCACAGTTTTCTGCTTTGTAATTATTATTATTTCTTTAATTGAATGTAATTGTTCCATGCCTGATAACTCTTAAGTAGTTTTAAAAATACCAAAGATAATAAGATCAATGATTTTTAAATGTTATAATTTGGATATTCAATTGATGTCATCTGAATTTTATTGTTTGTGTTATTATTGTATTTCTAAATTATATTGTATTTCTAAATTTATATTGTGAAATTTGAGAGACCATTGTAAACCAGAAATGCTGCTAGACAAAACTTCCCTTTTAGTCTGGATGCTATTAATAAGATTATGAATTGGGCTTTTAAAAGGATGTGATAAAAAATGGATATCTGAAAACTGTTAAATATTTAATGAGGTATATTATGTTATAAAACAGGTACTACTACTGCTAATGATAATAATAATAATATTTACTATAATGGTAAATTTTCATTTGAAAATCTTGGCTATTATGAAAGTGTATAAGGTGGTTTAAAGATGTAGCTTCAACATATGATGCCTGCTGAGTCAAATGATGAATCAGACATCAGGTATTTGCTGCATGTCTGAAGCCCCAGAATATGGGTAGTTTTAATTTATAAATAAAGTATTAATAAAAGTATTAACAGTTAAGGAAACATCAGGAAAGATATTCAGACCCTAAGTAGTAGTTAGTGAAATTTGGCTATTTAAGGTAAAAATTTCCAGGACTGTAACTTACTGTTGTTTTTGAGCTTTGATTACAGGGATAATTGTCTGAATTGTCATGAAGCCAGGAGTAGAACTGACATGTAAGCAGGAAGCCGCTTACAGGTGGATGTCTGTAACCTGGGAAAGGTTTTGGGGATGACCTTGGATATGGCATAGAAAAGATCCCCCTGACTCTATTTCTCCCTGGGCCTCAGTTTCCTCATCCGTAAAATGGACTATATGGTTTCTGAGGTCCCTTTAGATCTATAAGCAAGCACGTGTAATCCAGCGCTTAACACAGTGCCGGGTACACAGTTAGGTGTTTAATCACTGCTAGCTGACTGGCATACACACTTATTAGCTTCATGACACAATGCAAGGTCCTTTCCTTCTCTGTCTTAGTTTTCCTCGTAGAAAGTAGGGATCCTAACTCATGCTCTCCATCTCCATAGGTCTTAGTCAACCTCAAATCCTTATCGGAATGGGTGCTGTCATTATTATTATTATTGCACATACATACATACACACATGCACATACAAACACACACACACATACAAATACATACATGCACACACACATACCTACACGGTACATGTACACCATTTCCCTTAATGCAACAGAAAAGCAAGGGGAGGATAGAAGCAATGATAGGGATCCTTCTGGATAAAATAGCACATGTATCTGAAATAGCTGGTTATTTAGATTAGAATAACTTCCTTCTCAATGCCCATCTTTCTTCCTCCCTCCAACCACATGTATTGATACAGGCCGAACAGGCAGCAAATAATCTGAATTCCCTGGGGGAAAGGTGTATTTGAAAAGTCTTAAATGTTGTCATCAGGTTTCTATCCTTTAAGCCTGCTTATAAGCTGAGGCATGTAGCTTCTTGTCTTGGGCTGCAAGAAAATGGGAAAAAAGTGAAGGAGGTTATTGAGTTACTGAGGAGAAAGAAAGAAGGAAAAAAGAGAAAGAAAGAAAGAAAAAAGGAAAGGAAGGAAGGAATGAAGAGCAAGAAGGAGAGAGAGAAAAAAAAGAAGGGGAGAGAGAAGGAAAGGAAGAAAGGAAGGAAAAAAGAAAGAAAGAAAGAAGGAAGAAAGGAAGGAAAGAAAGAAATAGAAAGAAAAGGAGGAGGGAAGGAAGGAAAGAAAGGAAGGAAAGAAGGAAGGAAGGAAGGAAGGAAGGAAGGAAGGAAGGAAGGAAGGAAAAAAGAAAAGGAAGGAAGATAGAGAAAAAAGAAAGAAGGGGGGGCGGCTAGGTGGCACAGTGAATAGAGCACTGGCCCTGAAGTCAGGAGGACCAGAGTTCAAATCCAGACTCAGACCAAACACTTGACACTTACTAGCTATGTGACCCTGGGCAAGTCACTTAACCCCATTTGCCTAAAAAAAAAAGAAAGAAAGAAAGAAAGAAGGAAAGAAAGGAAGGAAGGAAGGAATCAAAGGAAGGAAGGAAAGAGAGAAGAAAAGAAGGAAGGGGTAGAAGGGAAGAGAGAAAGAGGAGAGAGAGAAGGAAGGAAAGGAAGGAAGGAAGAAGAGAAAGAAGGAAGGGATAGAAGGGGAGAGAGAAAGAGAAGAGGAGAGAGAAGGAAAGAAAGAGAGAAAGAAAGAAAAAGAGAGATAAAGAAAAGGGGGAAGAAGGAAGGAAGGAAGGAAGGAAGGAAGGAAGGAAGGAAGGAAGGAAGGAAAGACTTCCCTGGAGCTCTTTAAGCACAGGTCAAATGACCATCAATGGGGAAGGCTGCTGAAAGTCCTTATTCAGGTATCAAATGGACAAGGTGGCCCCTAAGCTCCCTTCTGAAGCAGATTCTATGATGTGAAATACAAAGCAGGCTCTGCCCTTGGGAAGATTACAGTCCAATGGGGAGCAAGAAAGTAACATCAACAGTCCCTCTAGCACAAGACTTGACTAATTAGTCCCCTTTGAACAGGCTTCCTAATAATTTAGTAGAAAGAGGACCAGGCTTAGAGTCAGAGAGCCTAGCTAGATCAAATGCCCTGACTTGGACACCAATTCAGCCTGAGCTCTCTGAGCCTCAGTCTTCTCATCTGAAACATGGGTGTGATGATTCTCTCACTACTTACCGTAGGGCCATTGTAAGGAAAGTGTCTCAGCTATAGAACTGTGAGCAAGTTCTAGGTGGGGAGACATTACTCACTTGCAAGAATAACTTAGTAAGCAGTATAACTGAGTCATCAAAAACTAGAGCTGGAAGGGACATAAGAGACCCAGCCCTACCTCTACATTCTACGGAAGAGAAAAATGAGGCCCAGACGAGGGAGCGTGACTTAGCCAAGTTATCACAGAAATGTGAGGGCAATCTAAAGCCTCTTGGAAGGTCAGCAGTATTTCCACCAGGCCACAATTATGTGTTGTGGACACTAAGTGCTTTTGCAGTTAAAGGGGTGGAGGGTGGGGCAGGAATAAAGCCAAGCTAATCTGTTGGTTGGTTCCAAATCAGTAGAAGGAATGGTTTTTGTTTTCTTTTTGTAGGTTTGTTTGTCTTACTTTTGTCCTGGATATTTGGACTCCGTATGACTGGGTATGTAAGTGGACTGATAGTTTTGGAACTGATCCAGGGGCATGCTGATAAATGTTTAACAACTCACTTTCCAAGGGGGGAAAATGTAGCCAGGGCACACTTTTAAGTTTAATATGCATTATTATGCATATTGTTTCCTCTGTCACTTTCTTAAGTTTAGACTATCAATAAAATAATAAATCAAGCCTTAATTTGTAGCATTTGCTGATTTCCAAGATGTAAATGCTTACACGGAAAATTTAGCGATGGATTCCAGCTCACCCCTGGACTGGCCTCACTTTCCACCCCACCTAGTAAGCCAGCTAGAGAGATACTCAGAAAGGATAGTTCTGGCTTAAAGGACCTTTTTCCCATCTGGGCAGTTAGGAGTGAACCAGATGGGAAAACACCTTATTGTAATCCTCGTGTTACTACTATTTTAGCCCTCCCACCCCAAAGCAGTTACCAAAAGCAAGCAACGCCCTTTGACTCATTTGAGGATCATATATTCTCCTTTCCCTCAACTACCCTGCTGAGGTGGAAAAATTCCCCCAAGGGAGGAACCAAAACTAACAGAACAACAGATTATAAGAGCCAGAATGGTTTCAAAATACAGAATGTCAGAGTTGGGAGGTGCCTTAGACTCCAGAATGTTTGGGCTGGGACCTTAGAACAGAGAATGTAAGAGTTTAGAGGGGAATAGTCTATCAGAGCTGGGAGGGGCTGAGCTGAAAGAACTTAGAATGTCAAAGTTGGCAGGGACCTTAGACGTCCTGGAAGTCTTCCCTTCCATTTTGCAGATGAGAAGAGTAAGGCCTTTGGTCACCAGACTCACTTTCTCTTCCAGAGCCATCTGCGTCCAGCAGCCAAATATAGATCAAGACAACTGGGAGATGGCCCAGGATGCAGTGGGAGACCTCAGCCTTTTTAAGCTAAGGTCTCACTTTGTTTTTTGCTAGGCAATGGAATTAAGTGACTTGCCCAGGGCCACACAGCTAGTAAGCATCAAGTGTCTGAGGCTGGATTTGAATTCAGGTCCTCCTGACTGCACTATCCACTGCGCCACCTAGCTCCCCCTGAAGTCTCACTTTGTTGAGTGAGGCAATTCCCATTCTATGAATAGGCCTGTTTAAGAAGTGAATCAAGGGATGGATCCTTTAATAAGAAAAAAAAATCAAACTGGGAAGGGAGGACCCTCAGGCTTGCGGACCAAAAGAGAAACAATTACTATTTACGTTCACACACAGCCAGGAGGGCCCAAGAGTAACCAGTAAGCGTGCCTGGGCAGGGACCTAGTGTCCAATCAATGAGATCTAGAATGAATTGGGTTTAAGGCTTGGTTTTTGAGAAAGAAATCTAGCCAGTAAGACTAGCTTAATGTCATCGAGTGAATCAAGGAAGAACTAAATCTAAAGACCAGTCTCCTGATACCCAGTGCAATGCCCTTTCTACTACGCCATAGGAGAAGCCAGGAGCCTGAATAATCTATAGGAATGAATGATTAGCTCTTTGATAAGAGGAAGTTGTTCATTTGTCCATTCAAAAACCATGTCAAATGCCTACCCTGTGCTTGGAACTATGGGAGGACCAAAGATAATTAAAACCCTGTTTCTACCCACAAGGAGTTTATGATCTAGTAGTAATTATATTAATCCACATTTGTATATAACTTTAAGGCATTATAGAGTATGCTTCCAATCAACCTTGTGAGACAGGAAGCACAAGAAATATTATCCCTATCATACAGACAAGAGACTAAGATGCAAAGATATGGAGTGACAAGCGCAAGGTCACACAATTACTATGTGACAGAGCTGAAACTCCGACCCAGGTCATGGGCAAGTCTAGCCCTCTTTCTGCTAAAGCCCAGTGCCTGTCCACATAGCATGCACAGATACAGAGAATAGCTAATAAGAATACAGCTCCGTAAGAGGAATATAGCATGATCACAGAAGCACAATGCTACAAAGTCTGACGATGGAGACATCCCTGTGTAGGGGACTGGGGAAGAAATCCCAGCAGAAGTGCTGGATTGGAGCTGGGCTTTGAAGGATGGGATGGGTATCAACAGGTGGGGACAGGGTGGGGAGGATGATATGCCAAATGTGCAGAGTTTCATCAGCAGAGGGTACAGGCACGCACAGAACAGGGACTGGGCGTGCTCAGGCATCATGCATATGCCCTGGGAAGAGCATTCTCTGAGGACGAGGGGAAGAGCTAAAGGTAATGCTTGCTCCGGTCTCTGCCTATGCTGAACGCATGCTTAGAGAAGAGAAAGCAGTTAGTTCTTGAAGAAAAGGGTTGTTGACCTTCCCAGTGACGTCCACACCATGCTACCCCCGCCATCATCTTCATCTCCTTCCCCTCACTATCTACACACTCCTTTTCCAACTCCTCTTTATATGTCTTCTCTCTGCCTCCCCCTTGTACTAATATAATAATATTATATTAGAATACAAGTTCCTTGAGGGTAGGAATCTGCTTGCTTGCTTTTGTTTGCATTCCCAGTGTTTAGCACAGTGCCTTTACATAGTAAAGACTTAGTAAATACTCCCTCACTCATTCGCTCATTTTCTCACTCTAGTCATCCATCTATTCATCTATCTAACCCTTTCTATCCATCCATCTATCCTTTAGCTATCTTTCTATCTATTCATCTATCTACCCATCTAACTTTCTATCTATCTGTCTGTCTGTCTGTCTTTAGAGGCTCAGCTCCTCTGTGAAATGTTTTCTATCTCAGGACCCTGGGATCATACATCCTAGAGGTGGACTGGACCTTCAGGGTCACTGAGGCCCACGAGAAGACTTGCCCAAGATCGCAAAGGTAGTAAGCAGAGGAGTAGGGCTTTGAATCCAAGACATGAACCTCTACATGCAGCATTCTCTCCACTTCCTCCTCTGAACACCTCGAGTTTGTATCATGCAACTGAATGCCTCTGCAATGGTCCTCCATTTTACCTGTTTGAGTCTTGTTTCCTCAATTGGATTTTGAGCTTCTTGAGGTCAGAAGCTATGCTCTCCTTCACTCTCTCACGCTTTTGTTGTTGTTGTTGTTGTTGTTGTTGTTGTTTTTGGTGAGGCAATTCAGGTTAAGTGACTTGCCTAGGATCACACAGCTAGTGTCAAGTGTCTGAGGGCAGATTTGAACTCAGGTCCTTCCGCCTCCAGGGATGGTGCTTTATCCAATGCACCATCTAGCTGCCCCCTCTCTTCCACTCTCCACCCTCCCCCACACACTTGGCACAGGGATAGGCATGTGGTTGATGACTGGTAAATACCCATTGACTGATGTCCATCACATTTATGGGTCAAATAAAGTAAGCCCTACAGCTTCCCTACAGTGGAAAGGTCAAGAGATTAATAATCAGAAAGCCAAGGCTGAAATCCCATCCCTTCCATTACTAGCTGTGTGACCCTGGGCAAGTCATTTGCCTTTGCCGAACTTCATTTGTCTCCTCTATAAAATGTGCTCAATAATCCTCATTACCTACCTCACTGGGCTGTTCTTTGTAAATATTAAAACCCTACAGAAATGGGAGCTTTTATTCATCTTCCTCACTGCTCCTTATCATGGCAGAAACTTACCAAACTGAGCAGCTATCACGATGGTCTCACAGTAGGCATCGGAGGATGAACAGTTGGTGGATCTTTGGCCCTTTCCGTGGCACCTGTCCCCCACACACGTATAGCATCGCAGAGCACTTCCTGTGGGAAGAAAAGCCAGACCGAAAAGCTGCCTTCTTCAATGCAGTGGTCACAAAGTCAGCACAATATAAATGTTTGGAAGTGGTAGTAGTGGCAGTAGCAGCAGCAGCAGTAGTAGTAGTAGTATCTCCCAGCATTGTTGTGAGGATCAAATCAGATAATATTTATAAAGTACTTACTAGAGTGCCTGGCATATGGTAGGTGCTTAATAAATGTTTATTCTCTCCCTTCACCCTTAGCACAATGCCTGGCACATAATAAGTATTTAATAAATGCTTGGGCCAGCTAGATGGAACAGCGGATAGAGGGCCAGACCTGGAGTCAGGAAGATCTGAATTAAAATCTGGCCTCAGACACTTATTAGCTGAGTGACCCTGGCCAAATTACTTCACCTTGTTTGCTTTAGTATCCTCATCTGTAAAATGACCTAGAGAAGGAAATGGCAAACCACTCCAGTATCTTTGCCAAGAAAACCCCGAATGAGGTCACGACGAGTTGAACAGGACTGAAAAATGATTAAACAAAAATAAATGGTTTTTGGTTAACTGAGTGAAAATAGAATATTCATGATGGAACGAGCCTTAGAAGGGATCTTAGAACCTGATATTAGAGTTAGGAGGGACGTTTAAAAATAAAATATAAAACATTGTATGCCAGAGCCAGAAAAGACCATAGAATACTGAAGGTTAAAGCTGGAAGGAAGCTTGGCGATCACCTAGTCTAATTTTGTCACTCACAGATTCAGGAAATGAAGCTGAGGAAGGTTAAATGACAGGCCCTGATCAGACCATACCAGGAGTATTCTGTTCAGTTCCCAGCTCCATGAGAGGCAATTTGATGTAGTAAATAGACCTCGGTCCTTCAAATTAGGAAGTCATAGATTTAAGTCCTGCTGCTGATATACACTGGCTCCATGACCCTGGACAAGTCACTCAAAGGCCTTTCGCTGCTCTAAGGAGTTCTATACGACTCTTTTTCAGAGAAATGCAACCTACGTTGCTGGAGGGAGTTTCCTCATCTGGGAGTTCCTTCTGCCAATGAAATCACAGATCCAGTTCCTGTTCCCTATCTTGACACCACATTTTAGAAGCACCACTGACAAGATGGAGGATGGTGATCAGGCAGTGAGAGAATTGGAGATTATACCACTCACATGTTACTTGAAAGCACTGGGAGTATTTAGTCTGGAGAAGAGAAGACTTAGTGGGTGGGAGACATTACTTCTGTCTTCAAATCTCTGAAGGGCTGTTGTGTGGAAGATGGAGTAGATTTGTTCTTCTTTTTTTGTTTGTTTGTTTGTTTTTGATTTTTTGCTAGGCAATGGGGTTAAGTGACTTGCCCAGGATCACACGGGTAGTGAGTGTTAGATGTCTGAGGCCAGATTTGAACTCAGGTCCTCCTGACTCCAGGGCTGGTGCTCTATCCACTGTGCCACTTAGCTGCCCCAATTTATTCTTCTTGATCCCAGAACTAAGAGCAGTGGGTTGAAGAAGGACAGGAAAAAGGATTGGAGCCAAGATTCTCTTGGTAAAGGCATTTTCCTGCCTGAGCTCAGGGCTCTGTCCACTATGCCAGCCACATTGCCAGGATGTTTGAGTGTTAAACTAACCAGTGCCATCCCTGTTCTAGGCCCCGGGTCCACTGCTGTTGTCCAGCCTGAATGGAGCTGCTCAGACCTGGGTGGAACTTTTCCGCCCATGATGTGGCAAGTTTCAAAGGCTATGGGAAGATCAGCACTCCAGATATGGTGCCCCTGAGTGAGGCCTTGGCAATCTTTTCATTTGCACATGCCAGGGAAGGGAAGGGTCAGCAGAAAAGAGGTGAGGCAGGGGCTGTGTTTGGAGCCATCTCATTGTCTCCTTCATGGACAGAGCCCAAGAATGTCTGTGCTTGCCTTCCTGGTGCTCCCCAGACCCCGAGCAGGAGGACAAATTGGAGAAGAGATTGTGGCCCCTTGTCCTTGTGCCTTCCCAGGAGAAAGGAGACTTGAAGTTGCTTCTGTATCCTGGATGACTGGTGCTCTGTGGGTGCAGCAATGATACATGATATGTGCATCAGAGAGGTATAAAACACAATGCTATGTGAGATCCTCCAGAGACAATTCAATTATGGGGGGAGGGAGGGGGATCAGGAAAGGCATCCTAGAGGGAGGAGGCATGTGAATGGCCTTTAAAGGTGGATTACAGTTCAGCAACAGCCGGAGGGTGGGAGGAAAGAGTGTGAGCACAGACCCAGAGTCCAGAAAGCACAGGTCCTATTCATGGTCCTGCTTGGCTGAAGACCTTGAAGAGCCATTAAGACGATGCCTTTAGAAACCAAGGAGTGACAGAACCCCTCGCCTGTCAATGGACAGGCAAAGAACAATGACAAACAGGAGTGCCTCCAAAAGAAGGATGACCAAAGAGAACGCTGCATGACAGTCATCAGAGGGGTCCAGGGCTGGTTAACCAGAAGTAGAAAGGACTTTGGGTGGGATAGGGAGAGCTGGGATGAAATATCTAAACAATTGGCATGGGAAAGAAGGTTTAGACTTTCTCTGCTTAGCTCCAGAGGGTGGAACTGGGATAGAGGTTGGAAGTTACAGGGAGGGCAGATGCCATTCCATCTCAACGCATTCATCAAGTACTCCTGGGGACAAGACACTATGCCCAATGCTAGAGGTAGAAACACAGGAAGAAAAGAATCTTTGCTCTTAAGGAGGTCTGTTGGTGGTACACAGCCTTCAAGCTTACATGCTCTCCTCTCTCTTCTCTCTCTCTCTCTCCCTCTCTATCTCCTCTTTGTCTTTCTTTCTCACTGTCTCTCTGCTTCTGTGTCTCTTCTCTGTCTTTCTTTCTCACTGTCTCTCTGCTTCTCTCTCTCTCTTTCTCTCTCCCTCTCTGTCTCCTCTTTCTCTCTGTGCTGTCTGTCTCTCTGTCTGTCTCTGTCTGTGTCT